TTGATGTTGCAGGTGTAAAAGTAAGCCCTTGTTTTCACATCCAGCTTATGCTGGAAATGTGGAAAAGTGGAAGGAACACTGTTCCACACCTGGTGGAGCTGCGAAAAATCCAAGGCCTACTGGGGTATATGATTCATGAAGAACTCAAAAAAATGTTTAAAACATCTATACAAAAGAAACCAGAGGTATATTTATTAGGCTTATTGGGGAAAGATATACCACAGAAAAAGAAAGGAATTTTCTTATATGCCACAGCAGCTGCCAGGATAACTTTTGCCAGCAAATGGAAGAGTGAGGCAATACCGTTAAAAGACGATTGGCTGTGTAAACTAAGCAAGTTCATAGAAAAGGCAAAGCTGACTGCCTATATCAGAATGCAGACAAACCAACAACTTAGACTAGAATGGCAATGCTTTGAAGAATATATGGACAAATGTTGTTCCAAAGTGGGATGCGGGTGGCACTGTGGGTTAAACCACAGAGCCTAGGACTTGCCAATCAGAAGGTCAGCGGTTCGATTCCCCGAGACCGGGTAAGCTCCCGTTGCTCGGTCCCAGCTCCTGCCAACCTAGCAGTTTGAAAGCACATCAAAGTGCAAGTAGATAAATAGGTACCGCTCCGGTGGGAAAGTAAATGGTGTTTCCGTGCACTGCTCTGGTTCACCAGAAGCGGCTTAGTCATGCTGGCCACATGACCCGGAAGCTGTACGCCGGCTCCCTCAGCCAGTAAAGCGAGATGAGCGCCGCAACCCCAGAGTTGTCCGCGACTGGACCTAATGGTCGGGGGTCCCTTTACTTTTATCTTTATTGATCCAAAAGAATACGTATGTTGATATGTTTAGATTAAAGGAGTAAAGCGGAAAGAACGACATTCTCTAGGAATGTTATAAAGAGATAAAAATTCAAAATCTAAAGAGTGCAAGGATCACATAGAATTTTAAAAATAAGGAAGTTGTGGTGTGGTAGAGGGAAGTCGAGGGGTGTGGCGGTGGGAGGGGAATGAGGGGGGGAGGATTTTTGTTTGTGTAAATAACAGTGTATTTTTGTGTGCTTTTATTTTGGTAGAATGTACTTTTTCTTTTTCTCTTTTTGTATTAATAAAACTCAATAAAAATAATAATAAAGAAAAGAAAATAAGGATACTGGACAATTCCAGCAGAAACAGGCGTGGAAAATTCTGATGTTTGCTTATTCGTCCCATGTCTGGACTGAAAATCAATGCAGCGAAAGCAATAAGAATTCACTGCTGTTGTTGCTTTCAGTCCACAAATTAATCATAATTGATTATTTTACACACACACCGCCACACACAACTGCTACCATTTTGTATGGTGTTTCTTTTCCACTGAAATGAATGGGGTAGAAAGATGTAAGGCAAAAGGTACAGGACCCCTGTACAAAGCCACTTTCTATAAACAAACATTTACTGAGTATTTTCCACCCAAAGATTCCAGGGTGGTGCATGAGATTAAGAACATAATTTGGCACTCCTGCCAGGGTGTTTGCACTGCACCAACTTCCCTGCTGCCTCACCCCTTCTGCTAAGCAACAGTTGTAATGGGATCAGGAACAAAAGTGATTTAGAAATAGTTATGTGGGTGGAATCAGTTCCGCGTGACATCTGCGGGAAAAGGAAGCCAAAAGTGCTTACTGGTTTCCGTTTTGTATATAGCTTGGCAGCAGCACACCTCTAAGTAAAGTTGGTTCCTTCTAATCCAGTAATTGTGGATCATTTGCAAACATTACAACAGTGACTTAGCTCAGGGGCTCTGACATACTCAGCAAGTTCCTTCTGCTTTTAACCCTTTAAAAAAAAAACCTTTCATATGTACACATGAAGAAAAACCAAATTTGAGCAGGGATTCCCGTCTCCAACAGCAAATTTTTGTTTTCCCCATGCCCTTTTCTATGGACTCAGGTACCACGGGCAAACCAGGGGTCCTCTGGTCTGTGACACTGAAGCTCAAGACAGATAAAATCCAAATATTAACCTGCCGACAGAGGTGGGGGGGAAAAGAGAACTAAAATAATACCAAACTATCCCTATCTCGCTTAACTAAAGCTCTTTAACAAGCCATTAACTTTATTGTTTTCTTAAATCATTCATGAATAATATGATCAGATTAGAGGCTGGGGTTGAGTTCTTGCTGCCAATTCTCTCTTTCCAGGTACTGCTATTGATATGAAAGGTCTGCTAGGCACCTGTGAGCAATTTAATTAAGCTTTCATGAGCAAGACAAAGCACTAAAAACTATCCTTTAATGCTTAACTGCTGCAAGTACATTGAGAGAGGTCCTTCAGTAGCTGGCCAGTAATTAAGAATCATAGTGATGCCTATTTTTTCCCCCTTTCCTTTTCCCATGGCTGATGCTGTATGTATTTTCAGGGAAATGCCCTCTGGAGATTCTCTTGGACTTGCAGTTCCAATCACTAGTGAGAAAACATGCTTCCCTCGGCCCTTGGATGCTTTCACAGCCTTCCTCTGCTCTCCATACAAGGCGCATTTTTGGACCTTGAGGCAGGGAAATGAACACATAGTTTCAGGCTCAGAAGGCACTGAGCATGACTAAACCGCTTCTGGTGCAACAAAACACCATGATGGAAACCAGAACACACGGAAACGCCATTTACCTTCCTGCCGGAGCGGTACCTATATATCTACTTGCACTGGTGTGCTTTCGAACTGCTAGGTTGGCAGGAGCTGGGACACAGCAACGGAAGCTCACCCTGCCATGCGGATTCAAACTGCCGACCTTCTGATCGGCAAGCCCAAGAGGCTCAGTGGTTTAGACCACAGTGCCAACAGCATCCCCAACAAGACTTGTAGCAGACATGCCGTTTCTCCTGTTTCTTTGCATGTTTCTTTGCATTTCCTGATCTATTCCTTGATAGTTTCACAAGATGCACAACAAGAACTCAAGAATGGCAGGAATACAGTTGTGCCAGACTCAATTTTCATTCCCAGTTGTCTTCCTATTTAGTACAGTGGTACCTCGCGTTACATATGCTTCAGGTTACATACGCTTCAGGTTACATATGCTTCCGGTTACAGACTCCACTAACCCAGAAATAGTACCTCAGGTTAAGAACTTTGCTTCAGGATGAGAACAGAAATCGTGCTCCGGCAGCGCGGCAGCAGCAGGAGGCCCCATTAGCTAAAGTGGTGCTTCAGGTTAAGAACAGTTTCAGGTTAAGAACGGACCTCCAGAACGAATTAAGTACTTAACCAGAGGTACCACTGTACACATCATTTTTAACCAGCGAGGTGGAGGGCGGAGGGCACTCCTTTTGGTTTGCTGCTTATGCACGATGGTGTATGGATGAATAATTCACTAGCCTCGAACATAAGAAAGACGAGCTGGACTACTCACTTGAGAGGCTATTGTTTCGCATCTGTCCTAAAAGCTTAAGTAAGGGCCTGCAATGCATTATTGGCACACAAGAAAGACAAACATGTCACAGCAGCAAATGAGTTGTACTGAAGTCTGGAGCCTTTCCACCACTGTTGAACTGGTCAGCCAATACAGAATTGATACCAATGGTCCACATTAACTAACATTGCTCTATCTTCGTCATTCTTAAAATATTGAACCTGAACGTTCGCAACACACGTCTTGGGGGGTGGGGGAGAAGAAATACCATGGTAGGGTTGCCATACTTTGAAGAGCAAAAAAGAGGACACTGTGACAACTATTCAAAGCAAATAAATGCATTTTGTCTCACATTTTACCCCTGAAAAAGAGGATGTTGTCCTGGAGAAACAGGACATCTGACAACTGTAATATGGGCCATCAGGTAATATTGATGGCTGAGCATGGCAGTGTGCAACAGTCTGTTGATATCACAAGATGCCTACATTGGTTTATTTAATTTATTTAGGTAATTTGCATGTGCTGCCAGTCAGTTTTCAACTAGATCAAAGAGGTAGGTAAATTAACACATTCTGTAAAGAACACACACATCAACAAATCACTACACTGAGATGACTAATAGGAGGAGGAGCAGAAGCAAAGGTCTCCTTCCAAACACTTGGAGTTACATACACTTCAGGTAACAGACTCCGCTAACCCAGAAATATTACCTCAGGTTAAGAACTTTGCTTCAGGATGAGAACAGAAATCGTGCAGCAGCGGCGCAGCAGCAGGAGGAGGCCCCATTAGCTAAAGTGGTGCTTCAGGTTAAGAACAGTTTCAGGTTAAGAACGGACCTCCAGAATGAATTAAGTTCTTAACCCGAGGTACCACTGTACAAGAAAGGAGATTCTGACTCAACATGCGGTGGGGAGATCTGATGGTAAGAGCTGTTTGACAGTGGAACCGACTCCCTTGGAAGGTAGTGGGCTTGCCTGTCTTGGAGCTTTTTAAGCAGATGGCCATCTGTCAGGGTTGTTTTAGCTGAGATTGCTAAGGGACACGGGTGGCACTGTGGTCCAAACCACTGAGCCTCTTGGGCTTGCCAATCGGAAGGTTGGCAGTTCGAATCCCCATGACGGGGGTGAGCTCCAGTTGCTCTGTCCCAGCTCCTGCCAACCTAGCAGTTCGAAAGCACACCAGTGAAAGTTGATAAATAGGTGTCGTAGGAAGGTAAACGGCGTTTCCGTGTTCCATTGCGCCAGAAGCGGTTTAGTTATGCTGGCCACATGACCCGAAAAGCTGTCTGTGGAGAAACGCCAGCTCCTTTGGCCTGAAAGTGAGATGAACACCACAACCCCATAGTTAACCTTAACTGTCCAGGGGTCCTTTACCTTTTTTATTTTTTATTTTTAGTTGAGATTCCTGCATTGCAGGCGGTCGGACTTGATAGCTCGCGGGGTCCCTTGCCTTGGCTCTGCCCTCTCCGTTGCATCTCCCCTTCCACGTGATTTGGGGAGTTGGATGTGCTTGGCTCCTGCGCTCCGCTTTGCGCAGCGAGGCTGGGAGCCGGCTTGCCATTGTTACGCGCGCGCCGGCGCGCTTCCTCTCCCTGGTTCCGTTGCTATAGGAGCTCCCGTCTAACAATCCCCTCCTCCCGCTGGGTGCTCCGGGGACACGCTCGTTCTCGCGGACGCTGCCACCCGCCCAAGGAACCATTCCTGCTCTCTTGCCATCAGCCCGCGGAGGAAGCGGGGAAGAGTCATGCCCATCTACCAGGCGTCTGGGCGGCTGCTTTCGTCTGGTCTCCTCCAGCTCTCCTGGAGCGTCAGCAAAGCTTGCAGGTAAGCTGCTGGAGTCGCGGCAGGTTAAAAGGAGAAAGAAAAAGGAGGAGAGGGCGAAATCCAGGCAGATCTGGCCGGTAGTGGTCATTGTTTTTGCGGGGTGATGTAACCCCCTAGTGCTTCTGTCTAGAAAAAGGAATCTCGGAGAGCCCTGCGTTGGGAATGGTGTTGCAGCCCAAAGAGCCCAGCGCCTTTAAAAGGACCGAACGGATTGATTGACAAGCAAAGGCTATTGCGGACTTCATCACATGCGCGTAGAACTCTTCCGGCGCTCGGTGGTAGGCTGCTCTCATTCAGGCTCTGTTGTTTGTCTTTTAAGGGACCACTGAGTTGACTCGGAGTTGCTTTGCTGGTGAATTGTAACTGCTTATAAGTCATACATGCAGATAGAACTGCAGCTGGTGAACTTTATTGCCGGCTATCCTCAAGACATAAAGGAGCTCTGGGGGAAAAAATATGATTTACCTTAAAAACCATTGTAAACAGTTAAAGTCGTTGGTAGGATTTGAATAGCACTTGTAGTTTAATGATTAATTTTTGATATAATGGAGATGTACAAGATTTGGAATATTATAAAAGATGCAGGAGGAAATGGTTAATAATAGTACCCACAAAGGGGAGGGGAGGAGTCCACGAGATTCTTTGACATCTTGTTTTTATGTTATATGTTGTATGTTTGTGATTATAAAATTTTAATTTGAAAAACCAAATAGTTTCATATAAAAATTAATAAATAAAGGAGCTCTTGGGGAAATAATAATAATAATTCCAATTTTACAATTCTATGACTATTATTGATGAGGGCAGATTTATATATTGTATATAGATCTGAATCTTGTGTCTTGACTCTATGTCGGTCAGCATGGGAATGAATGCTGAGCTAGAAACATGTTGGGTTTTAAAAAATAAACAAAAAAACCCATTCATCGATTAATAAGAAAAGGAACTATGAAAATTGGCAAAGAGGAGAGAAAATGCAGATGAAATTATCATGAAGCAGCACTGGATTTGGGGTGGTGAAGTCTGTTCCCCTGCGCAGGGCACCAAACCAAGGGGGCACAAAATATTATTATTATTATTGAGAAGATCCATGCAAAAGCAACTGTATCAAAAGGAATTATTGTGAAAATAAGAAATTTCGAGGGCATGGCATGGGGCACCAAATTATTACCTACCTCAGGGCATCATATCACCAAAGCCTGGCCCAGAAGTGTGGGAGAAGTTTGGTTGCTCCCACCATACATTCAGAGTGGCTGAGGGTGCTTTGTAAGTGTCCTTTCTTCAAACCATCTGCCGGCAGCCTTCCCAGGTGCTCTGTCCTTCTTGAAAACTCAATGACGTCTCTTTCCTGTAAATCACAAAAAGCTGGGGTTTGTTTGTGTGTAAACGAACTGCCTAATATGTACCTGACAGCTGTTTATTGCTATATTTTTTTTGAAACTGAGGCCTTTTACCTTTAATGACATGTAAAGGCAAACATATAGACTTCCTTTAAAAGCAAAAGTGGGCACACCAGTTTCAGATGCCCGGTAGGCAGTCCCTTCAGATGCCCTTCATTTAAAGTTTAGGGGGGAATTCCATGAGGTTGTTCCTTTCCCATGGGACTTTTTTAGGGATTAGGAAATGTGGGCAGCTGGATAAGTTGCAGAATGCTGGGGAAATGTTTAATGGAAATTGGGGACTATAGGCACATCATAATCACTGCACCATGATAGGTAATCTCAACTCCACACCCACCCAGACTTAGGGGAATTCTGAAGCACCTTGTGAATGAGACAGCAAAATGGAAGGGGAAGGAAACTTTTGAGAAATTGAAGGCATGTTTCCAGCACAGAGCCCCCAGGTCTGAACAGAAGGTAATACAGTAGTACCTTGGGTTACATATGCTTCAGGTTACAGACGCTTCAGATTACAGACTCCGCTAATCCAGAAATAGTACCTCGGGTAAAGAACTTTGCTTCAGGATGAGAACAGAAATCATGCTCCGGTGGCACAGCAGCAGCTGGAGGCCCCATTAGCTAAAATGGTGCTTCAGGTTAAGAACAGTTTCAGGTTAAGAAGGGACCTCCGGAACAAATTAAGAACTTAACACGAGGTACCACTGTACCTGGTGTGTCACAAAAGCTCTGTCTGTAGGTTTGGCCTCCAGGCATTCAAGCCTTAGTGCTTTCATGCCATCCTAGATTACATAAGAAGAGCCTACTGAATCAGACGAAAGGCCCATCTAGTCCTGCATCCTGTTGTAACAGTGGCCAATCAGATGCCTCTGAGATGCCTACAAGAAGGACCCAACTTTAGTCTGCCATTAACCAGCCCCCACCCACCCACCTTCTTACTTACAGGGGTTATTCATGGCTGTTGGCTTCCTCCGCCTTAGGCTCAGCTTTGTCCTTGTAGAAGTCATCAGAGAGGAGGATGGGGACAAACCTAGCATTTGTTGACTCGGTCTGCTGTTGGCTCTGGTTCTGCTTATAACTTGCCTCCTTTCCTACCACCCTCAATGGGCACCAGCCATCAATAGCCTTGTCCTCCATGTCTAATCCTCTTTTAAATCCATCCAGGTTGGATGTCACATGCGTGTGTGAACTTGCTTTGTTTGTCGTTCTTTGGGTTTGTTGTCTTGCACCTCTGACCCTCAGGTTTCACAAGGAGGCTTCTGGCAATGTGTGCAAACATCACAGCACCCGTATTTGCCAAGAGGTTGAGGGTTTATTCTTGAGGCTCAGTTGACGCACTCCTAGAAACTAGAATTTTAAAACAGATTCAAGTGAAGGCTAATGTGCCAGTCCATCTTTGACTTATGGCATTGTTGCTATGATGCACTGTTGCATCATCAGGAATATTAATGAGTTGCAAACAGCAATGGCAAACAGCAGTAGCAAAGGACAACTGACTGCAAACATAAGTGTGGTGGCCAGTGGTGACTGGCACCCTTTGGGTTGAGTGGAACGTAGGGACATCAACAGTCCGCACAGCCACAGCCAATGACAGACAGAGCCAACTAATTCTACTTTTGTCTCCATCCTCCTGCCTGTTTGGAGTTCTACAAGGGCAACATTAAGACTAAGGAGAAGGTTATTTATGTAAGCCACTGCTGCGGCCTGTCTTTTGTTAGCCCAAAAATGGAAAATGAGCGAGGTCCCAACCAAAAAAGAATGGCAACTTTAGCTGACAGAATATGCGCAGTTTGCAGACTTAACATATAGAATAAGAGAACAAGAAGAACATACGTTTAGAGAAGACTGGCAAATGTTTATTGAACACATGGGGGGATATTGTTTATTGAACACATGGGGGGGAAATGTTGGCAGCATTAAGATAAATTCAGCAGTGTAAACAAGATTTGACGGATGTAATAATGGAAAACTGAAAGGCAGTGGCGGAGCTTCATGCTGTGGCACCGGGGGGTGGAGAGCAGGTGGGGGCGTGGCTCCCCCCGCGTCCCTCTTCCTCCACCAGTGCTGAATGATATAGTTTTTGTAAAATATGCAGGGATTTATGATATGCAAAATGAACCATGGAAAGAGAAGAAGGGAAGTCATTGATATTTTAAGGATGTTTAAATGAGTATTTTAAATTGTAAAACAGAAAATGTAATAGTGTGTGTGTGTGTGTGTGTGTGTGTGTGTAGACAAAGGAGGAGGAAGTATACAGGCAATGCCACCTGCTGTAAGAAGATAGGCTGGTAGGAACTGGCTGAAGGGAAACTGAAGTTGGTGGGGCAATATCCCATTTATTTTAATGGACCAGCTTCCACTGGCTACGGTAGTGTGGCATGCTTTACTGTGTCATGAGCCGCAGGCAGAGGGCCTTCTCGGTGGTGGCGCCCACTCTGTGGAACACCCTCCCATCAGATGTTAAGGAAATAAACAGCTACCTGATTTTTAGAAGACATCTGAAGGCAACCCTGTTTAGGGAAGTTTTTAATGTTTGATGTTTTATTCTGTTTTTAATCTGTTGGGAGCTGCCCAGAGTGGCTGGGGAAACCCAGTGGGATGGGTGGGGTATAAATAATATATTATTATTATTATTATTATTATTATTATTATTATTATTCACAGTCGCATCCTTTAACAGATATGCTTAACCGCCACAGCACAAATGGGGTACATCGTAGAATTCCATTACAAAGGAGACTCATTTTTTTCCCATTTCCTCCTTCTGTCCAGAGAACCACCTCTATGAGAATATCCTTCCTTCGGTTGATTGAGAATGTTGGCTGACAAAAGGCTCGAAAACCTACAGATCTACAAAGTTCTCCAGTGCGTTCGCCAGAAGGACAAGAAACAGATTGAGAAGCTCACCAAACTCGGCTACCCGGAACTCATCAATTTCACCGAGCCAGTCGATGGAGAGGCTGCTCTTCACTTAGCCTGTGTTGCCAACGACATTGACATGTGCAACTTTCTCTTGGAGCTCGGAGCTCATCCGGATGTCCAGGACCGGATGGGCCGCACCCCCGTGATGAAAGCCGCTGAGCTGGGCCATGACTTGGCCTTGGATGTATTAGTCCAGGCCGAGGCAGACATGACCATCGTTGATGTTGAAGGAAAAGGTAAAGAGAACCAGGTGTTGGCAAGGGAGGTGGGGATTTCTCTTGTAGCTCAAGAAGTTCAATCCACATTGGGGCACATTTCAAAGTGCTGACTTTCACCTTTAAAGCTCTAAATCATGATTATTTAGTCAAATTTGTTAAGTTAAACTAACTGAAAATAGCTTGCAGATACTTAATGGGCTTAGGATTTTATTTATGTTAAGTGATGAATTAATATGTTCACCATAAGGTGAAGATCTAAGGATGTTAATGTTTAAGTTAAATTTCATAAAAATTGGGATTTGGAAAACCGGTAAAAGCACATGCAATGAAATTCAACCAAGGGGAAGCGAGGAAGTCACTTAACAAAGTTACCGTATTTTTCGCTCTATAACACGCACCCGACCATAACACGCACGTAGTTTTTAGAGGAGGAAAATCCGTAGGCATGCCACCCGTAGGCATTCCCTCCATAACACGCACAGACATTTCCCCTTACTTTCTAGGAGGAAAAAAGTGAGTGTTATGGTGCAAAAAATACGGTAATAACTGTAATTTTCAATAAGGCTATGATTTATGTTTGTCATGTGTGTGTGTGTGTGTGTGTGTGTGTGTTTGTTTATAATATTGTGAAAACTAATATTTTTTGGGGAAAAATAAATAAATTAAAGCTCTAAACCATGGGTAGGCGAACTAAGGCCCAGGGGCCGGATCCGGTCCAATCACCTTCTAAATCCAGCCCGCAGATGGTCCAGGAAACAGAATATTTTTACATGAGTAGAACATGTCCTTTTATTTAAAATGCATCTCTGGGTTATTTGTGGGGCCTGCCTGGTGTTTTTACATGAGTAGAATGTGTGCTTTTATTTAAAATGCATCTCTGGGTTATTTGTGGGGCATAGGAATTCGTTCATTATTATTTTTTCAAAATGTAGTCCGGCCCCCCACAAGGTCTGAGGGACAGTGGACCGGCCCCCTGCTGAAAAAGTTTGCTGACCCCTGCTCTAAACAGCTTGGGGCCAGGTTACTTGAAGGATGATCTCTTCCCATGCGTACTTGCCCAGGCCCTGAAATCTTCATCTGAGTTCCTTTCCCAGGTTCCCTTAGCTAATGAAGTGAGTCAGGTGTCTGCTAGGAAAAGACACTTGCATTACTTTCTAAAAAGAACCAGAGTCCTTTCTGCTGGGGATACTTCAGACTGAAATCCCCAGGTGTCAGAAAAAGTTATTTATGTATGCGACAACTGCGGCTTGTGTTTTGTTAGCCCCAAAATGGAAAATGAGTGAGGTCCCAACCAAAGAAGATTGACAACTTAGGTTGACAGAATATGCACAACTTGCAGACTTAACATATAGAATAAGAGAACAAGAAGCACATACCGGTATGTTTAGAGAAGATTGGAAAATGTTTATTGAATATATGGGAAATGTGTACAGCTGAAAACGCTGGCAGCATTAAGATAAATTCAAAAGTATCAGTAACTTTTGATGGATGTAATAATGGAAAACTGATTGGTATAGTTTTTTCTAAAACATGCAAGGATATAAGATATGTAAAATGAACCATGGAAAGAGAAGAAGGGGAGTCATTGATATCTGAAGGATGTAAAGTGTTTATTTGAAATTGTAAAACAGAAAAATTAATAAAAATCATATTATTTTTTTAAAAAGGAAAAGATCAGTAGTGACACCCATCCACCACCGGTTGATAGAATTAGGTTGTGAATCATCCTGATATCTATAGACAAAGGGCAGTCTATAAATTCTATCAATAAATATTAAAATACCGTATTTTTTGCTCTATAAGACTCACTTTTTCCCTCATAAAAAGTAAGGGGAAATGTGTGTGCGTCTTATGGAGCGAATGCAGGCTGCGCAGCTATCCCAGAAGCCAGAACAGCAAGAGGGATCGCTGCTTTCACTGCGCAGCGATCCCTCTTGTTGTTCTGGCTTCTGAGATTCAAATTTTTTTTTCTTGTTTCCCTCCTCCGAAAACTAGGTGCGTCTTATGGTCTGGTGCATCTTATAGAGCGAAAAATACGGTAGCTAGAATGTCATTCCCAAAGATGCTCACCTGGTACCCACATTATGGTCTTTAGATACCTGCTGAAGATCATTTTGATTTCCCTGGCCTTCATATTAATTATCATGGGTACAAATATCCAGTGTATTTTTTCTTAAAAAAAAAGGTTAGGGGTACTCTGATTTTCCTACTCCTATTGAAATACTGCCCCTCAATGAGGCCAATCTTAGGTTCACAAAATGTTTCGAGGTATGCGTACCCCTGCATCCCCCAGGAAAAAAAGCACTGCAAATATCTGGTGCATTAGTTCTTTTCTCCATTTTCCCCCCTTTGCTAGTTTCGTATTGGTTTCCTCATTGTTTCAACTGATGTGCCTATGCTGGTTTTAGGAATGTATATTTTGGTGTTCTGATTTTAACTAATCGGTTTGAGTCTTTATTTTGGTTTGGATTGGATTGCTATATTTTAATGCCTCTGCAACCCTCCCCGAGCACTTAGTTATATGGGCAGTACGCAAGGGCAATAAGCAGATTATTTTACTACTTGGCATTTAGTGGTTGGTCTCTCTTTTCAGGATCACGGCTGTTTCCCTGTTAAGCCACTCTGCAACTATTCTTCACACAGGTGTTCTGTTTTACTGCATTCTGCCCACCAAACGGCACTTCCGCTGTGTTCAGATGGTCCTGGAATATGGGGCGGATGTTAACAACTGCACTTTTGAGGGGAAGCCAGTTTTCGTACAAGCCTGTGAGCAGGCGCATGAGATCAGAGACATGTGCATGACATTTTTGGAGAGAGGAGCAGACCCTAATGCAACAAACCCAGTAAGAATGTTCTTAGCCATTCTAAGAGTGGGGAGCGGAATGCCGACAGGTGTAAGCGTAATAATAATTAGGGCTGCAGTGGCTAATTGGTTAAATTAATCAACCATAAAAATGTTTTAAGAATATTTATTATCCTGATCAGCCAGGCAGCAGATCATATATAGATATAGTGGTACTTCGGGTTACAGACGCTTCAGGTTACATACGCTTCAGGTTACAGACTCCGCTAACCCAGAAATAGTACCTCGGGTTAAGTACTTTGCTTCAGGATGAGAACAGAAATTGTGCAGCAGTGGTGCAGCGGCAGTGGGAGGCCCCATTAGCTAAAGTGGTACCTCAGGTTAAGAACAGTTTCAGGTTAAGAATGGATCTCCAGAACGAATTAAGTTCTTAATCCGAGGTACCACTGTATACATATATAGATATATATAACACATACAGTGGTACCTCGGTTCTCGAATGTCTCTGTTGTCGAACATTTCAGAACCCGGGCACCGAAAACCAGGAAATAAATGCTTCCATTTTCAAACGTGCCTCGGAAGTTGAACGACTTCCGCTGTGTGTTTTTCAATTTTTCAAATTTCTCAATTGCATTTGCAGCCAGTCCTTTGTGCCTCGGTTTCCGAACGTTTCGGAACTCGGGACGGTCTTCCGGAATGGATTACGTTCGAGAACCGAGGTACTGCTGTAATTTGAAAAACTGCAGATGGTATAATAATAATAATAATAATAATAATAATAATTTATTATTTATACCCGCCCATCTGGCTGAGTTTCCCCAGCCACTCTGGGCTGCTTCCAATCGAGTGTTAAAAACAATACAGCATGGTAAAGAAGCTCATAAAAATAAATTCACACTAAAATACTGGTGAATTTCCAGGAAGCCTTTTTATGTATGGATATTAAGAAATTGCAAACTGATGTGGACATTTGGAGATGATTGAGGAAATGAGAAAAGTGGAGAAATGTCAGATTCATCTATTGCTCCTCCTGGCATTATCAAGACACACTAATACACATGTAAATTCAAGATAGGGAGCAGGCCACAGAAATATCTCATGTTTTCTGCTAGGATCGTGATCTTTTTCAGAGAGGCCTGCTTTGTACCTGAAGAACAATGGCTCCCATTGTACACACTGTCCCCTTTTTTCTCAGGTAGCGGAGAGGGCAGCAAGGAGCTTCTTAGCAGCCCTAACCCCTGTTCATGGCTTGCATTCTTTATAGAATAAGGCATTTCCTCTGTCCCCCCCCCCCATTTTTTGCAATATAGTAAATGAGCAAATTATGTTAAAAAAAATTTTTCTCTCTCTCTCTCTCTCCTGTCCCTCTCTTTCTCCCTTTCTCTGATCTGCAGGCGACCGGCCGCACAGCCCTGATGGAAGCAGCCAGAGAAGGGGTTTTGGATGTGGTCCGCGGTATTCTTGAGAGAGGTGGAAATGTTAATGTTTTTGACAATGAAAGACACCATGCCGCACATTTTGCAGCCAAAGGAGGGTTTTTTGAGGTATTCTTTGTTGGTGGTGTCAGAAACAAAGGTACCCAGCCCAAGGAACTCTCTCAGTTAATTACCGTAGTTTTCGCTCCATAACACACGTTTTTTTCCTCCTAGAAAGTAAGGGGAAATGTCTGTGTGTGTTACGGAGCAAATGCTTCCCTCCTCCGTGGTTTCCAGCGGGAGAGTCCGGTTGGCTCCTTTAAAGCAAAAAGCAAGCAGGCTCTCTGTATCTCTCTCCTCCCGCTTTGCTTTTCAGCTCGCTAAGGGCGGGGGGGGGGGAGGAGGAGGGAGAGAAGCAGAACCTGCTTGCTTTAGGCTCCTTTAAAGCAAGCAGGCTCTCTGTCCCTCCAGCAAAGGTTTTCAGCTCGCTGGGGGGGGGGGGGAGGGAGAGAAGCAGAGCCTGCTCCACGCGTGCTTCTTGTCCCTTGAGTGCTTTTCTTTCCCTCCCCACTTAAAACGTGGTTACAAAGCACAGATCCACATGGATCCTCAGGATTTTTGCACTGGGTCACCCCAAATTCACCATCACATCGCATAGCATGTCCATGGCTACAGTTTGCACCAAAAAAACCACGCACCCACTGTTGCCTGGGGCTGCAGTGGTGCAAAAACGTGGTACAAACATGGATCCCCATGGATCCTCAGGATTTTTGCACTGGGTCACCCCACATTCACCATCACATCACATAGCATGTCCATGGCTACAGTTTGCACCAAAAAAATCACGCACCCACTGTTGCCTGGGGCTGCAGTGGTGCAAAAACGTGGTAGAAACATGGATCCACATGGATCCTCAGGATTTCTGCATTGGGCTACCCCAAACTCACCGTCAGATCACATGTCTGTGGCCACAGCATGAACCACAAAAATCATACATCCACTGTTTCGTTTAGAATATTTTTTTTCTTATTTTCCTCCTCTAAAAACTACATGCGTGTTATGGTTGGGTGCGTGTTATCGAGCGAAAAATACGGTACTAATAATCAGGCTTGGCTAACAGAGGGGATCCCAGAAAATCCAATTTCGCTTTTTCCCAAAGCACACTTTTCAGAATGTTTAGCTTGACCTGAATAGAAAGAAACATGGAGTTACTATAGTCGTGTGCTATGACAAGAGGGATGCGGGTGGCGCTGTGGTCTAAAACGCTGAGCTTCTTGGGCTTGCTGATCAGAAGGTCAGCGGTTCAAATCCCCACAACGGGGTGAGCTCCCGTTGCTCTGCCCCAAATCCTGCCAACCTAGCAGTTCGAAAGCACGCCAGTGCAAGTAGATAAATAGGTACCACTGCGGCCGGAAGGTAAAAGGTGTTTCCGTGCACTCTGGTTTCCGTCACAGTGTTCCGTTGTGCCAGAAGCAGTTTAGTCATGACCCAGAAAGCTGTCTGTGGACAAACACCAGCTTCCTTGGCCTGAAAGCGAGATGAGCACCACAACCCCATAGTCACCTTTGACTGCACTTAACCGTCCAGGGGTCCTTTACCTTTACCTTTTTTGTGTGCTGTGTGTGATAACTTGGGGTTTTCCCTACTCCCCTGCACAACCTGAGGGTCATTGTCCTGAAGGAAGAGCCAGTGCTGTCCAGCACCACTCAGCCTTTGCCTCCTTCAGGGAGGGAGAATCTTGAAGATCTGGAGAGCAGTGAGGAGTCGTGATGATGGTTTTGAAAGTGGCAGATAGCTAGTTAAAGAGTCAGAACGATGATCCCTTTGGGTAATAAAGGTAAAGGGACCCCTGACCATTAGGTCCAGTTGCGACCAACTCTGGGGTTGCGGCGCTCATCTCGCTTTATTGGCCGAGGGAGCCAGCGTACAGCTTCCGGGTCATGTGGCCAGCATGACTAAGCCGCTTCTGACGAACCAGAGCAGCGCACAGAAACACCGTTTACCTTCCCACCAGAGTGGTACCTATTTATCTACTTGCACTTTCACATGCTTTTGAATTGCTAGGTTGGCAGGAGCAGGGACCGAGCAACGGGAGCTCACCCCGTCACGGGGATTTGAACCACTGACCTTCTGATCAGCAAGTCCTAGGCTCTGTGGTTTAACCCACAGCACCACCCGCGTCCCTTTGGGTAATACTACATTTTATATTCAATATTTCTTTGTGTGGTTTTTAAAAAATAGCGCCTGCAAAGGGCCCAGTCTAGATTGGGAGTGGTTTTGTGCAATACCATAAAAAAATGGAGCCCACCCTCAAATTTACTATTTGCCCAAGAGGTGAAGTTGCATAGTAGCAACTTTTGTCTCAAGGCAATTGCCAATTTCAACTGGGAGAAGGGATTTATTTTGGAAGTCACTGCAGCAATGATGGGAGGAGGATTAAACTCCTTCTCCCTGTTCCTCAATTCTGTTGTGGATCACGGCTCCCCACGCAGGGCTCTTATGGGATAGCGGTGGGCTTTGGCCATCTTTGGTTGTGAGGCTGAAATTTAGCACCCCCAAAGGAATCTTCTCAGTGATGGATCTTCTCAATTTTGTACCCCCTCGGCTTGGCGCCCTGTGCGGGGAAGCCAACTTCGCTGCTCTAAATTGGGCACTGTTTTGAAACACCCACACAAATGCAGAGGCACATTTCACGTGATATGGAGTTTGGCCCTTGTCAGAAGGAGAAAAAGGCTTATTTTAAAGCACAGGTGGGCGACCTTCGGCTCTCCAGACCATAGCTGACAACTTTTCCCTTTTCTTGCGAGGAATCCTATTCGGAATAAGGGCATTTCCCTTTAAAAAAGGGAAACGTTGACAGCTATGCTCCAGACGTTGCTGGACTCCAACTCCCATCAGCCCCAGTGAGCATGGTGCCGTGGTCAGGAAATATGGGTTTTGTAGTCTCGCAAATTTTGAAAGGCTGCAGGTGCCCCAGCCCTTGCCTTAAGTGGAGGTATTTCTGTGCAGGAATTTTGCCCTCTCACCATTACAAGTATTAATTAGGCCATGGGTAGGCAAACTAAGGCCCGGGGGCCACATCCGGTCCAATCGCCTTCTAAATCCAGCCCGTGGACAGTCCAGGAATCAGTGTCTTTTTGCATTAGTAGAACGTGTCCTTTTATTTAAAATGCATCTCTGGGTTATTTGTGGGGCATAGGAATTCGTTCATTTCCCCCCCAAAAATATAGTCCAGCCCCCACAAGGTCTGAGGGACAGTGGACCGGCCCCCTGCTGAAAAAGTTTGCTGACCCCTGAATTAGGCCTTTCTCTGGCGCCCCAGCTTATATAGTTACAGCTTTTCAGACTGTTTAAATGGCATCCATTTGCTGCAATTTTGCTGAGAAGAAAACAGGTACAGTACATTTGGTTAAAGTATGTCTGTCTTGGTTTAATGGTGTTGACTTTGCTTCGCAGATCCTGAAGCTTATTTCCGCCTACAATGGAGATGTGGGTTTGATAGCCATGAATGGAAACACGCCGCTGCATTACGCTGCTGCTGGGGGTTATGCAGAGTGTTGCAGATTTATAGGTCAAAGAGGTAAAGGATGGTTGTCTGAGAATGAAGCGCTCCCCCCAACCCCGGGATAAACTCAGGGGTTCAGTCACCTGATTCAGTGAACGAGAATCCACTGCACTCAAGCAGGAACAGAACAATCTCATTTTGGTGCCTGTAATATACTACATCAGGGTGGTCCAACCCACAGCTGTGGCCCTCGATGCCTTGTCTGGCGGCCTTCAGCAACATTCAGGAAAATGACATCTTAAAGCCTTAAGCAATTTTTGCGTGAAATCTTGTTAGAAAAAGCACCCACGTCTGTTTGCGTATGAAATTGGTTTACTGGTTGCATGCATTGAATCTGTTAAATACACAATATGTATTTAATCAAATATATTAACTGTGTATATTAAATAATATCAAATATATTGTGAATGCTTTATTATATGGACATTTAATTTGTGGGGTTGCCTGTGGATTGTTTGCACATCCACAGAGGTGAGCAGGTTGTGTGCTGGTGTGTGGTGCTTGTGTCCAAGCAAGGGAGTGTGTGAAAGAATGTAGGATTGCCACACCCACCTTTAGCCACACCCACAAACTGCATGTGGCCCCCCAAGGGTTGATCAAGGATGAATATGGCCCTCAGGCCAGAAAGGGTTAGCCACCTCTATTCTGTAAGAATCTTGAGAACCATGAAATGAATGAGTCAACCATGGTTTTGATGATCCCCAGGTGTTGAGACTTTCTTTTGACTCATTTTCTAAGATTTTGGAGCTGTCTTCATTGGAACTTACACTTTTGCCTTTTAGGCACTGACCCTACATGGAGGAACCTAGAGAAAAAGACACCGAGGCAGGTGGCTAAAGACGGTGGATTCAAAGCAGCAAGTAAGGAGATTCGTAAGATTGAGCGGCGTTATGCCAAATATTCCAAGCCCAAGCCTGGGGTGAAGAACCCCAACCCGCCCTGGGCTGTTAGGCTACACGACTGGACCGTAGAACACCAGGCAAGTCTTCGCGAAGCATTTGAGATCGCAGATCGAGGGGACGGGGCCGTGAACAAGGAAGATTTTGTGTCCATCATCGAAGAGAGGTGTCCGTTTGTGGAGGCTGAACAATTAATGACCATTGCTCAGGCGCACGAGAAAACGCGAGCAGGAGGGATTAAGTTCGAGGAGTTTCTTAAGGGCAACCGGTTCTTGCAGAAAGCCTTCCTCCTTACATCTTATGGTCCCAAGAAGAAGAAACCCAAGAAAGCGAGAGGCAGGAAAGCCAAGTTTGTCGCCCCTATGCCAATCTGCGTCATTCCAGAGAGTGCGTACCCACGGCGGGCAGATGGCGGGCCGCCTGAGTACATGATTGAAACCTATAAGAACGTGACGGACTGCAACCGGTTCAATCGGGACCACCCTCCCGAGCACCCCATCCAAGATGATTCGTGGTGGTACATTGACGACCCGTTGAAGACTTTTGCCCACATCAACTACCTCGCTAAAGACGGAGACCTTTCGTCCATGAAGAAAGCCTTTGAGGCAGGGGTATCAGTGGACATACGAGACCATTTCTACAAAACTCCTCTGATGGCCGCTTGCGCAAGTGGGAACATCGAAGTGGTGAAGTTTCTCCTGGAAAGGGGGTGGGTTTACTTCCTCTGGTGGCTTACTGGGCTGGTGGGCATAGGAGGCAACCCTGTAGACACAAGTAATGTGGGATTTATGTGGGAATGTTGAGGAAGGTAGGAGAGGATGTATTGATGAAACATTATCCTTCCTCACTCACACCAGTGAGCAAGCAGGAGAGCATATTCCCTTGTAGATAGTTGGAAGCAAGTTGATGGATTCATTAGAATCATTTAACTTAAGCAATCAAGTCTGGCTTGTTCCTGGTAAGTGCCTCCTTTTATTTCCTTCTTAAAATAATAATAACACAAGACAGTCTTCTTTAAAAGTAAGAGTAAAGTTTTACTTACATTCAGTTCACAGCAGTAATCTGAAGGCAGGTTTGATCTTGGGGTTACAGTTACATTTGTACAGAAAAGAAGTCTGAGCTACACCTCAGACTTTCTGCCTTGTGGCTTCCACTCTGTAAGGATGACCCATGTGTTAGCTAAGAGCCAGGAGAGGAGTTCCAAGAGAGAAGTCTGAAAAGAGAAAAAGGGAAGATGGCTGTGTGGCTAGCCCTTTCACAGGGTCTGCTAAGCTCATGCACATCTACCTGGTCATACACAAGGGCAGGAGGCTCCAGAGCAGGTATGGCAGGAAGTCCTCCCTGTCTGGAGCCACATCCCCTAGGTGTCCGCTCTAGGCAACAGGAAAATGTTGTACTTGACTGCTTCAGTGATGATACATTTCCCCATTTATGAGGGGTGTGTCCATGCCCTGTGCAGCTGGCCGACATGGTGTCATTAGAAAGCATTCCAGACCCTCCATGTCCCAGAATCTGGCGGGCCTTAAAAGTAGAAGAGTGAAGAGCTCAAAGACAGAGGGCTCATAGCAGCACCTGTAGAAGTGACAATTGAGGAAGTGGGAGAAACGGAGGGTGGAGATTCACTTGGGACAATGCCTTTATCCAAGAGGCTGGGTTCTATAGCCTCTCTTTGTAATATTGAAATGAAAAGGGAGGGTAAGAAACTTTTCCTTGTCTTGATACTTTCCTGGGCAACCAGCCAGGAGCTGCTGACAGCATCCTGACAGTGGGTGATGATGATGATGATGATGATGATGATGATGATAATAATAATAATAATAATAATAATAATAATAATAATTTATTTATACCCTGCCCATCTGGCTGAGTTTCCCCAGCCACTCTGGGCAGCTTCCAATCGAGTGTTAAAAACAATACAGCATTAAATATTAAAAACTTCCCTAAACAGGGCTGCCTTCAAATGTCTTTTAAAGATAAAATAGCTGCTTATTTCCTTCACATCTGAAGGGAGGGCGTTCCACAGGGCGGGCGCCACTACCAAGAAGTAGTGGGTAGCTTTGGACAGGCCACCAAGTCTTACCCTATCCGACTTCACAAGTTGGTTGTGAAGGAAGCAACAGAAGGCTGCACCCAAAGGGACGGGCTAGAACAGTAGTCAACTTTTTCATATCCTTCCTTCAACCCAAAGATGCATTTGGAGACCCATTTCTTTGTGTGTTCTTTGTGGTAGAGGTGCGGTTGTCTCCCACATTAGTTCAGGCTGCAGGCCAGTAGTAGTGTGTCCTCACCCATGAGTTGAAGACAAATGGCTATGTCCAGCATAAGTGACCATTGTGATGTGGCAGCCTAGGCAAGTTGTCATGGAAGATTGTATGTTTGACTGGAGGAGCTACGTTTCCAACCATGGTGGGAGCAATGGACCAGGACTGAGGAGAGCCACAGCCAGATCCTTCTTCAGCCATGGAACTCATCTGGTGACCTTAGGTCAGTCACCATCTCTAAGCCTAACTAACCTAACTCTCAGATTTGTTGCAAGAGTGAAATGGGGTGGGGGAGAATGCAATGCATGATAGCCTTAGCCCCTTGGAGGAAAGGCAGTATATGACTGTGTACATATACCTTGAGGGACGTGGGTGGCGCTGTGGGTTAAACCACAGAGCCTAGGGGTTGCTGATCAGAAGGTCGGTGGTTTGAATATCCGCAATGGGGTGAGCTCCCGTTGCTCAGTCCCTGCTCCTGCCAACCTAGCAGTTTGAAAGCACGTCAAAGGGCAAGTAGATAAATAGGTACCGCTCCAGCGGGAAGGTAAACGGTGTTTCCATGTGCTGCTCTGGTTCGCCAGAAGCGGCTTAGTCATGCTGGCCACATGACCCGGGGAAGCTGTGCGCCAGCTTCCTCGGCCAATAGAGCGAGATGAGCGCCGCAACCCCAGAGTCGGCCACTACTGGACCTAATGGTCAGGGGCCCCTTTACCTTTACCTTTACATATACTTTGAAGCACATTTAAAGCACGTGACTTCTCCAAAGAATCCTGGGAAAGGTAGTTTGTTATGGGGTGCTTGGAATTGTAGCTCTGGGGGGGAGTAAATTACAGTTTCCAAGGTTCTTCCAGGGAACTCATGTACTTTAAATGTACCGTCCGTATGTGGATGCTTTGACCTTGTTGGCAAACCGCTTAGAGATTGGCTTAAAGAAAGGTGTTGCATCAACTGTTGTCAGGCAGCGAAGGAACCAACCCCCATGGCTGGTTGCCAGGAATGGTCAAGACAAGGGAAAATCCTTATCATCTGCTTTTATTCAATATTCACAGAGAGAGGCTTAGAAATGTGGCCTCTCGGAATAATGGTGTTGCTCCGAGTAAATCTCCACTTCTCTCCCACTTCCTCAATCATCATCCCTTCTATGGTTGGCGCTGAGGGCCCTTTGCTCTCCTATTTTTAAGACTCGCTGGGTTCTGGGAGATGGTGGGTCTGGAATGCTTTCTAGTGATAATGTATCAGCCAACTGTCAGCTGTGACCTCCCTCAAACCCCTGTTGTAATTCTGAATGGTCTTCTTCTTTGAAGGGTCAGGCTGGGGAGGTGGGCTTCACCATTCCTCCTCTACCCAGTCCCAGACAATTGTGTACCATCATTGTGGTGATGAATAATGGCAGTTGGTCAGGGCCGGATTTAGGTTTGATGAGCCCCTAAGCTACTGAAGGTGATGGGGCCCTTTATATGTCCAGCTGTCCTTTGACAGGAACAAACTGTCTCTGTTTTTTGTGTTGAATATACCGTATTTTTCTCTCTATAAGACACACTAGACCACAAGACGCACCTAGTTTTTGGAGGAGGAAAACAAGAAAAAATAAATCTGAATCTCAGAAGCCAGAACAGCAAGAGGGATTGCTTCGCAGTGAAAGCAGCAATCCCTCTTGCTGTTCTGGCTTCTGGGATAGCTGTGCAGCCTGCATTCACTCCATAAGATGCACACACATTTCCCCTTACTTTTTAGGAGAGAAAAAGTGAGTCTTATAGAGCAAAAAAAACGGCATGCTATATGGTAATTTATGTACTAATTACTTAGATCATAGGAGCTTAGAGACCACAAAACACTTTTGCTGTATATAGGTTTTGTTTTATTTGGTTTTTATCTTATATTTTGGAAATGTACATCCAGGTATGGTTTTTTCCTTTAATTTTTTTGGGGGGGGCCCAAGAGAGTGGGGCCCTAAGCTATAGCTTGTTAGCTTACATGTCAATCAGGCACTGCAGTAGTTGTAACAGAAACCGGCATTGGTGTATGCAAATTAGTGGAGATTCATTCTCCTTGTCTGCCATCATGGGATTGTTGTCTATCACATGGGGGTGTATGTTTTCATTCCACAGAATGGGAAGTGACGGAGACAGGATGTTTGTGTTACTGTGTTCCATGAAGTGGGACGATTGTCCTTTGTTCTTTTTCTCTTTGCTGTCTGATGCTAGAGAGAGAGGGAGCCATGTTGCAGTGCTCCGTGTGTGTTTATATATAAATAAAGTAGATTAGCCAAAATGCTGAGTTGCTGAGGTCTGTTACACAAGCTGCACAAACTCTGTGGATCCCTAAGTGTGCTGATGTCTGTTGGCATCGGTCTCTATGATGTTCGGGAAGAAGAAAGCTTTTGAAGCTCCCGAACGATCGACCAGGAGGGAGAGAACATGCCAGTTGGGCATGTGTCTCTGCCAGGGTCCTACATGAGAGTAGGATGGATCCTAACACAAATCAGGTCCCTTCTCATTGGAATTCACTGAAATGAAATTCCTCAAATGTCCCTATGTGACAAAACAGCATATTTCTAATATAGAGAACAATTGTTCTTTGCCTGCAGGGCTAATGTGAACGCAACAGACAATTTCATGTGGACTGCTCTCCACCATGCATGCCATGCAGGCCAGCAGGATATTGCTGAACTGCTCATCAATTCTGGAGCAACAGTAGATGCTATTTCAATCAACTATGGAACCCCATTGATGAGAGGCCTTGAGAGCTGCCGACTGGACACGGTTCATCATTTGGTCAACGCCGGTGCTAAGCCTCAGCTGACAAACAGAAAAGGTAAAACCTTTGTGTTACTGCTAATTGACAGCCAATGCAACCTTTAAATTAGCTATGGTGTTTCATCAGTAACTTCTGACCTAGACAGGAATTTGAATCATTGCCCCTTTACATTTTCTTTTTCCTTTTTTAAAAAAATAACTCTTTCCAGCTTATGTTGTTGTTTTTGTTTAGTCATTTAGTCGTGTCCAGTTCTTCATGACCCCATGGACCAGAACACGCCAGGCAGTCCTGTCTTCCACTGCCTCCCGCAGTTTGGTCAGACTCATGCTGGTAGCTTCGAGAACACTGTCCAACCATCTCGTCCTCTGTCGTCCCCTTCTCCTTGTGCCCTCAGTCTTTCCCAACATCAGGGTCTTTTCCAGGGAGTCTTCTCTTCTCATGAGGTGGCCAAAGTATTGGAGCCTCAGCTTCAAGTTCTGTCCTTCCAGTGAGCATTCAGGGCTGATTTCCTTCAGAATGGATAGGTTTGATCTTCTTGCAGTCCATGGGGCTCCCTGTCTGTGGAATGCTCTCCCTTGGGAAGTTTGTCTGGCACCCTCATTATGCACCTTTAGACACCAGGCAAAAACATTTCTTTTTAACCTGGCCTTTGATTCATCTGATTATATCCTACGCCCTTGTGTGTGGGGGGTTTTTCAGGAGGGGGCTATTGGGTTGTTGTTTTTATTTCTATTATGTATTTTGTGGTTTTATGCCTTGATTTTATTCTGTAAACTCAGGCCTCCTCGACCTCAGCCCTCCAGATGTTTTTGGCCTACAACTCCCATGATCCCTAGTTAGCAGGACCAGTGGTCAGGGATGATGGGAATTGTAGTCTCAAAACATCTGAAGGGCCGAGGTTGAGGAAGCCTGTGTAAACTGCTCTGAGACCCCTGGGTATAGGGTGGTATATAATGTCAATCAATCAATCAATCAATCAATCAATCAATAAGGAAGAGGTAGGCGCCAATGGCTTCAAAATCCATTCATTTTACAATGCTTCACCACTGAACTTTATGCACCCAGGTTAGTTGTATCTCAGTAGCATCTTTACCACCCAAATACTCTGGGCTCCCATCCCACTCTGTCCCAGTATTCTTGGTGACATGGAATCACTCTGGCATCAGGCAGAAGAACGCCACTGCCCTCACATACTGAGCCACCTTCTTTTTTCAAACAGGACAAAACGCTCTGGAAGTTGCAAAGGCTTATGCTGACACCCGGCTGGTCCACTACATTCAAGACACGCTGGACCGCATGCCGAAGCCACCGGACAGCAAAGGGGACAAGCAGAAAGGGAAAAAGGGGGCCAAGCCAAAGGCACCGGCCAAAGCAGCCTCAGCAGCCTCAGGAGCCCCAACCACTCCAGCAACGCCTGCCACTCCCAAGGCAAAGATGCCAGATCCTGCATCGAAAGAGTCTGTGAAAGAGGAGGTAAGGCGATGCCATGGTTCTGCACAAGAGATTTCTTCAATGGTGGGTTCTCCAGATGTTGCTGGACTCAACTCTCGTCATCCCCAGGCAGCTTGGCCAGGGGGTGATGGGAGCAGAAGACCTCAACAGCTTGCATGGTAGCCAGAAACATCATAGCCAGACACTGGAGAGACTTGTCTGGAGTAAGCATGGATGGACCAATGGTATCAAATAGTGTGGGAAACAGCCTTATTAGAAAAACTAACCCATAAACTGAAGCTGACACAGGGACAAATAGAAGAAGATGCCTTCGGCCTGGTATAGCTCCCCTTTATCACATACACAGCCCAACAAGACAACGACACGAATCCGCCAACAACATACAAATCAATCTGGCTAACCTGATAAAAAAATGCACACACACACACACACCCCACTCACACACAAAAACAAATCTCACTACAGCCAATCAAAGACAACCACCCACACCCTAGACCACCCCCAAGCTTTCTCACCACCAAGGAAACACAACTAGCGAATAGTAAGAGAACCCACACAAGTGACGCTGGCACAAAACCCCACACGTACACTAAGTAGAAGCATAGAAGCATTGCCACCTGACCCCACCCCACCCCACCCCACGCCTCCCCCTCATCCCCCCTTTTCTTCCTAACCTAACATTGTATGTAACACTAATGTCTCACAACAAATGAAACTGATCTGTAGAAAGCACAACTTGAAAAAAGAGACAATGCACATAGTTTTGTAAACTAAGAAATCTTTACTACAGGGGTAGGCAACTTAAGGCCCAGGGGCCGGATCCGGCCCAATTGCCTTCTCAATCTGGCCCACAGACGGTCTGGGAATCAGCGTGTTTTTACATGAGTAGAATGTGTGCTTTTATTTAAAATGCATCTCTGGGTTATTTGTGGGGCCTGCCTGGTGTTTTTACATGTCAAAGAGATGTCAAAGAGAACAACAACTACCAGACTTTTAGAAGACATCTGAAGGCAGCCCTGTTTAGGGAAGCTTTTAATGTTTAATGTATTACGGTATTTTAATATTCTTTTGGAAGCCGCCCAGAGTGGCTTGGGAAGCCCAGCCAGATGGGTGGAGTATAAATAATAAATTATTATTATTATTATTATTATTATTATCAGTGCTCACATTGCAATGGGGGAGCAGCCTCCATGACCCCCATACCTACTGCGACAGCCCCCTGCTTTTGGATTTTGACACATAACGAGAAACTTGGGTTGCAAAAAGGCCTCTTCCGGCTAATTGCGTGAGACATTTACGACACACACAAACACTTGTGCAACTGATGATGTTCTGTGTTTAAGGTTCTACCGTCGTCGGAAACAATCGCTGAGAAATCTCTCTTCGAGGAGAAGAAAGAATCCCTCAAGGATAATGTCGTCCATCTGAATTCACTGATAACCAGAGGAGCCACAAGGAAAGTTAATATCACTTTCACACCACAGAGGGTAAGTATGTCTGCAAAATAAGACCAGCTCCCTCTGCTGATCTTAACACCCGAGTGGGTCTCTGGGGAAGAATGTGGTAGAATGGCTTGTTTCTTAAGTGTTCCACTCATCTGAGGGGGAGGAAATGATCACAAAGAGATTCTGTTCTTGAATATTTCCCCTGTTGGGAGTTGTAGGGGACAGGATTGTATGTGATGCTTCAGCTATGCTGGAGTACTTCCGCTCCATAATTCTGAATCCTTTACAGCTAGATGTTGCTAACTTTATTCCAGAGCCCAGCAGTACTGGGGAGGGGCTCAGTTTGCGAAACAAAATATCCAATGCTTTTTTCTGGGGGGACGCAGGGGTACACATACTCCTAAACATTTTGTGTATCTAAGTTTGGCCTCATTGAGGGGCAGTATTTCAATATGAGTAGGGAAATGAGAGTACCCATAAACATTTTATGGGGAGGGGACCACTGAAAATATCCTTCTGGAGAAGAAAGCTGCCTGGAAAATATAAAACTTGGGAATAAGCGAGATAGTAACTGGAGGTTGCCAATCTTTCTGGGTACCATAAACACACTATGATCAAGAACACACCAGAAACCTATTCCATAGGCTACAAAAGAAGACTTCTTTCAATCCTAAATTCAGCATGGCGGGGGCATGGGAGGGGGTGATTATAAAATATATCAACCATGCTTTTTTCCTTCCATTAAGAAATGTACATAAGGATAGCCCATTTGCTGAATCTTAATTATGAGATCCTTTTCTCTTTCAAGACTTGGAGTCCAGAAGCGACGACCCAAGACCTTCTACGGAAGAGAGAGATGCGCCGGCAGCGTTTTAGTTATGAGGTGGACTTCGATGACTTTATGATGCCCTTTAAGAGGAACTTTATGGAGAAAGCCCGTTTGTTACAACAGGGTGCTATTTTGCATTAATCAGTGTGGAATTCCTGCAAGGATATCCAGGAAGGAAAGGATCCAGTTCCGAAGAGGGCAAGAATCATGTTATCCTGAACTGTGATGGAAGTTTCGCTTTGTTCTTTAGTTATGTAATTTCAGTACAGGGCATGCTCGAAGTATTCAACCAGGAGGACCACTCTGTCTTGCATTTGGGAATGGATTTGTTTTCATTTATTTATTTTTTAACAACAAGTTGGAAGATTAATGTACATTTCAGGAAAGTGGGAGTCCAGCTACCCTACTGCATTGCAGTTGACTTTTTATTACCCTCTCCCAGTCATCCAGATCTGAAACCATCTCCTTGCTTAAAAAATAGACTCTATCCTGCTACAGAAACTTGAAACCAATTATTTCCAGGTGCTATAAATATCCATTGTACTGAGCAGTGTTGGTAATACTTCTTAAATCTAGGGCAGCTGTAGAATTTGTGCAAGTCCGCAGAATTTTCCCATGAGAAGAATGTCCTGGTGCTTACGGGTGTGTAGGTTTTCCCTTATTTTTTGTGGGCATGTCGTGGGTGGGATAACATAAAAGCAATACAGATATAATACAGGAAAGTGATCTGGGTGATTCCTAGGAGGAATCTACACACATATAAAAACCGTTCTGAAAATGCTTTTAAACAAAGTTTTTAACAATACATGGAATTTTCCATAAGGCTCACCATCACCATCTAGTGTCACATTGTATATTGCACTTAAAACACACACAAAACATTTTATTTGCAGCTATACAGCTGAGTCCCTAGTTTTGATCCTTGTCCACTCAACTCTAAAAAATGAAGTTGAGAAAAATTCCTGTTTATCAAGGAAATGAAAGAACAAACAAACCATGATTTACCCCACTGTGTATGTAAGTATGTATATGCACCCAATGTTCTTTGGAAGAACCTTAATATGTTTGTATTATTTAGCTAGTTATCCAATAGTCTGTAGTGAATAACCACTATTTTTTGCTGCTAGTCCTTCCTCCAAAACCAGGAATGCAAAGACAGCAGCCACAGCGCTCCGATGTTTCCTCAGCCAGGACAATCAATACAGGGACAACAACAAACTGGGGTTGTTTCACTGGCCAGTGTGGTGTAGTGGTTAAGAGCGGTGGACTCGTAATCTGGTGAACCGGCTTCGCTTCCCCGCTCCTCCACATGCAGCTGCTGGGTGACCTTGGGCTAGTCACACTTCTTTGAAGTCTCTCAGCCCCACTCACCTCACAGAGTGTTTGTTGTGGGGGAGGAAGGGAAAGGAGAATGTTAGCCGCTTTGAGACTCCTTCGGGTAGTGATAAAGCGGGATATCAAATCCAAACGCTTCCTCTTGTTTCACTTGTGTCCTGCCTCCCTCTGTCTTTCTTTGTAGCATTTTTACTCACCACAGGCATACAGAAAAGTGACTTTTGTCTACCTGATGTTCTCCATATGTTTTTGATGGCTCCCACTAGAGCCATGCTGGCAGGGGCTGAGTTGTAGTCCAAAACATCTGGAGAGCACCAGTTTGATGAAGGCTGGGCTAAATCCGAAGATGCTTGCCAATAGCCCTACGCTCCTGAAAAGCCTATAATCACATTTTAACGGAGCAGGGAATCTGGGACATCATTGATTCCCCAGCCAAGTCTGGCCAGGTGAGTGAAGGAATGTTCTCAGAATGGAAGAAACTGCAAAGTGACGCTGTTAACCTCAGTAGTGAAATGTAAAAGTTGCCTGTGTGTTTGTGTGAAAGCACACATTCTTTGGGCTGAGAGAACACTCAGGGAGAAGTCCAGCAGATCCCAGCTTCCAGGCTGCCGTCTGAGTTCATTCCCAGATGGTGGGAAAGTATCTGCAAGAGTAATGATTAATGCTGCGTTGTAGAAATTCAGGACATTAATGAAAACGGTTGGATTCCTCTATGAATCACTGGTCTATTAGCCAGCTGGTCTAATTGACAGCTGGCCTATTAGCCTTTCTAATACCAGCAATTTGCATCCCTTCCAGGCTTCTTTAACTAGCAGAATCCACAGCACAAATTCCAAAAAAACGCAGGCTACATTTTTATATACAGCGGTACCTCGGGTTACATACGCTTCAGGTTACAAACACTTCAGGTTACAGACTCCGCTAACCCAAAAATAGTACCTTGGGTTAAGAACTTTGCTTCAGGATGAGTACAGAAATTGTGCTCCGGCGGCGCGGCAGCAGCGGGAGGCCCCATTAGCTAAAGTGGTGCTTCAGGTTAAGAACAGTTTCAGGTTAAGAATGGACCTCCAGAACAAATTAAGTACTTAACCCGAGGTACCACTGTATAAACTTTTGTGGCAGTTAAATGGAAGCAGGGAATTAAATAACTTGAGAACCACAGATACTTCTTGTAGCTTCATCTGATGGCTCATAGCACTTTTTTTTGGAGTAATACAATATGTCAGTAGAAGGATAATTTAATGAAGAATGTAATGCAACAAAGTTTGTTCAATTATCTGTATTCTGTCAAAAGTTATAGCCAAATGACCAGAAAAAGGAAGCACAACTTGCTTAGGTTGATACGCAGTAGCTTTCCTTCATTTGAATGTAGCCAATGAGTATAAGTGTTTAGAGAGCCAATCAGGTGTTAAGAGCCATCAAACTCGGAAATACACTTTTCCCAAAAGGATTCCACACTTTTGGCCACTGGTGTATCAGATACACACATAATTAGATTAAATAATAATAATAATAAATAGTAAGCTATTTGAAGGAAGAGTGTAAGCTGTTTGAAGGACTGCCGTGCGGTGGTTTTGCTCCGTCCAGAAGGAATGTAATAATATAAACACAAAACACAAAACTAATTCCTTTGGAACTCTCATGAAAAGCCAATTTGCTGCCACAAAGGGGGTGTAGGTTTTATCTTCACTGTCGCTTGTGTGGGGAGTTGGTCCTTGAGGGCAAATGGGGCACTGTCCCCAAAAGCTCATTCTACCCTTGGCCAGCCCACACCTGCCTGCCTTCTTCATGACCTCTGGCCTGGGGGGGGGGGTTGCCCTTGCTCTCAACACCCTCCTCCATAATCTCAGGGTTGCCCTTCAGGAACTCGGTGAGGATAAAGCAAAACGAGAACTCGTTGACTCTGCCTGCCGTTGGCTCTGGCGCCACCTTCTGTTGGCCTCCCAGTCTTCGACCCTATCAGTCCCAATGGGCAGCAGCCACCACGGGTTGCTTGCCATGAAAAGGATATTGCGTGAGATGTGCTGCTACTGGTTTAGAATGAGAGGGGCCACACACATGGAGTTCCATGGCCATTCATGGCAGTAGGGCTTTATGCTTTTCAAAAGTGTTTTCATTTGTGTGTCATCTGCTCTACTTTGGTGTACCAGTGAGGACTGCTTCAGCTTCCAAGTCTATGCAAACATCAATGCACCCTTATTGTGCTCTCTCTACAGCATTCGTGCTCCTTGTACCATGACATGTGCATCCTCATTATTGTCCAACATCTGCAGACTCTCCACCATGTGCTGTCTTTGAGTGCCCCTTGGAATGTATATTACAGTGGTACCTCAGGTTAAGTACTTAATTCATTCCGGATGTCCGTACTTAACCTGAAACTGTTCTTAACCTGAAGCACCACTTTAGCTGATGGGGCATCCTGCTGCTGCCGCACCGCCGGACCACGATTTCTGTTCTCATTCTGAAGGAAAGTTCTTAACCTGAAGCACTATTTCTGGGTTAGCGGAGTCTGTAATCTGAAGTGTATGTAACCCGAGGTACCACTGTACTGATTGAAGTCTAAAGTTCTGTTCTTGACCAGCAGGGTATGAAGTTTAAATAATAATAAAAATAAAGGTAACAGACCCCTGGACAGTCATGTCGAGTCAAAGGCGACTATGGGGTTGCGGCGCTCATCTCACTTTGAGGCAGAGGGAGATGGCATTTGTCCACAGACATGTGGTCATGTGGCCAGCATGACTAAACCACTTCTGGTGCAACAGAACACCATGGCGGAAACCAGGGCACATGGAAATGCCGTTTACCTTCCCGCCGCAGCAGTACCTATTTATCTACTTGCAGTGGTGTGCTTTGGAACTGCTAGGTTGGCAGGTGCTGGGACAGAGCAACGGGAGCTCATCCCGTCATGGGGATTCGAATCGCCAACCTTCTGATCAGCAAGCCCAAGAGGCTCAGTGGTTTAGACCACAGCGCCATCTGCGTCCCCCTTATGAAGTTTAAATATGTCAGCCACATCATGCTAGGGAACAACTGGCTGCAAATTAGCTACCAGGCTTCAAGGTGCTGATTTTGGGTTATAAAGCCCTAGACAGCTTGGGACCAGGATGCTAGAAAGATTGTCCCACACTTTATATACCAGACTGATCACTGTGCTCTGCAGATGAGGGTCAGATGAGAGCCAGTGTGGTGTAGTGGTTAAGAGTGGTAGACTCATAATCTGGGGAACCGGGTTCGCATCTCTGCTCCCCCACATACAGCTGCTGGGTGACCTTGGGCTAGTCACACTTCTTTGAAGTCTCTCAGCCCCACTCACCTCACAGAGTGTTTGCTGTGGGGGAGGAAGGGAAAGGAGAATGTTAGCTGCTTTGAGACTCCTTAAGGTAGTGATAAAGCAGGATATCAAATCCAAACTCCTCCTCCTCCTCCTCTTTTCTTTCTTTCTTTCTTTCTTTCTTTCTTTCTTTCTGGTGGCCTGTTCTACACAGTGTTGGAATCAGCCCTTTGGTGTTGTGGCACATACCTTTTGGAATACACTCCCCTCGAATATTGAACAGGCTCCATCTATGTCGTTGTTTTTTTTCTGATGCCTGCTGAAAACTTTCCTCCTTCAAACTTTCTAAGTTGAACACTTTCTCAGTCTGCATCTGTACTGGAATTGTTTTAAATCTATTCTTATTGTTTTATCACTTGTTTGCCACCCTCGGCTCCTTTGAGAGGAAGGGCTTGATAGGAATTTAATGCGCAAATAAAGCCATGAGGGAAATAACACAACGAAAGCTGTGTGCTTTCTGGGGAATTCACATTCCAAAATAATATCGTTCATCTGAGGAAACAAAAAACAAATCCATGAGAATCACTGAAGAAACAAAAATGGCGACTGATTACAGTGCTTATTATGCAGCTTCAAAAATGTTGTGGGGAAATCTATTTCATTTGTGATAAATTATAAGAAATGTTGCCTGTGCAGTGGAAGAAGCAAGATCACATTTTGATTGATTAGCCAAAAAAGATTTTCTAATTGGGAAATGAGCTGGATGATGGAACAGGTTGTCCAGGAAAATGATATCCTCTACTACACTGCTGCTGTGAGGAATGGGATTAATCCAGGCATCCCCAACCTGCGGCCCTCCAGATGTTTTGGCCTACAACTCCCATGATCCCTAGCTAACAAGACCAGTAGTCAGGGATGATGGGAATTGTAGTCCAAAGTATC